CTTCGTAGAGCTCATCGGAGGGAAACGCATGATAGCCTCGTGCATGCGATATTGCGTTGTAAGCATCCTCTTGATTGATGGCCCATGCAGGGACAGAAGTCTGTCAAAGAGGGTCGTCTCAAGGGTCATGCCTTTGACCGTCGGCACCTCTTCCTCGTCTTGCTTCTTCGCCATGTTGGTCTTGGAGTTCAGTGACTTGATCGTCGGCGGCAACTGCAGGTGATCGCCCGCGCACACAACTTTGTTCGCCCTCAGCAGCGGTACCCAGCACTGTGCTTCGAGGGCCTGGCTCGCCTCGTCAATGATAACGACGTCGAACTTTTCGTCCCGCAGCTGGAAGCCGCCAGCCCCGTGCAGAGTCGCTAAAACGACCTTGCTGCCACCTACCAGCTGGCGCAAGCATCCGCGCTCGCGCTCGCGGTACTCTTTTCGCAGATCCTTGAGGTCCGCATAGATGGCGCGGCGATCGCGGCCAGTGCGAGCCTTCTTCAGGGCGGCCTGCTTGGCATCCATCTCGGCACGGACGTCCTGAACAATGGCCCCGGCTGAGGAGGTGTGAGTCAGAACATCGAGAGAGTGAGCAAGAACGGAGGGGAGGAGACGGGCTGGGTGGCCGAGGCGGACGATGGGGATCTTATGGGGGGCGAGGCGCTCGACAATGTTGTCGACGGAGATGTTGGAGGGGCCGCAGACGAGGATGCGCTGGTCGCGGCGGACAAACTGAAGGATGAGCTCGATGAGGGTGTGCGTTTTGCCAGTCTGACTGCTTGTTAGTATGAAGGCGCAGCATCGTGGTGGATGCTGTCTCCTCGGAGTGAATACTCACACCCGGAGGGCCATGGATGAGTGCCACCTCCCGCGACGCGAGGGCAAAGCGGATGGCGTCCTTTTGTGAATCGTTGAGAGATGGATCGACCCATTCGAGCTTGCCGAAATCCCCGTCTGCCGCGAGGTCCACTGGTGTGGGAGACGGGCTGGACAATCCGAAGAGCACGCGCATGAAACTCGAGTACTCGGCCTCGGGCATCTTTTGCAGCTTCTCCATGGTTTGGTTCATCCTGGTAGTCAGTCAGCATCGCATGGTAGACCAGACTCGGACCACGGTTCTGTCCCCCCCCCCTCTCTCTCATGTGACTAGCCGAATATAGACTGCATAACGCACCGTTTGTACGTGACCTCATCCGCCAGCTTGACAATCCAAAGCCGGCACTCCAGTCACCCCCTCTTCCTCCCCCTCAAGCGCAACAGTGACGCACTCCCTCCGCACCCTCGCCACGACGGCCCTGCCGCCCTTGGCCTCGAGCTCCCTGAGCTCCCTCTTCTTGGGCCGCGCCGGCCGGCTGCTCGGCGACGAGGACAATGTCCCCAGGCCGCAGTCCGTGCTCGGGCAGATCCTGCGTCGTGGCGGTGGCCGGGTCGGGGGCGAGCTCGAGAAGGGTGCGGGCTCCGGGGCCGGTGCGGCGGGCCTGCGGCAGGAGGGAGGTCAGGGCGAGGCCGGCGCGCTGCAGGGTCGCGGGCGCGTGGGAGGCGAGCAGCGTCGAGGTCTGAGCCAGGTCGGCGGCGAGCTCATTGGAGAGGAGGGCGAGCTGGGTGGAGGCAAAGAGGGGGATGGATGGCGGTTCTCCTTTGGGCGCCATGATGGATGACGTGGTGTACTGGGCTGGCGGCACCGTTTTGGTATGTATATGTGTGTGCTGTGTTGAGAAGCTTGATGATGGATGGGCTTGCTGTGGAGGGGCTTGGCGGGGTTGATGTATCGCGGGGTCGGAGGCCCGAGCCGGCGTGGGCTGAGCCAGCGGGTTGGAATCTAAGTAGACGTTGTTGGTGGAAAAGACGCTGCTCGTATTTCCACTGACGTCACGTCGCAACAAGCACTGAGCACGTCCATTGAGATATTGTAGGGCCTGTGATTTGGTCGCGGGTGAGGTCCAGATGGAGCTGTGATGATTTGGTCCACCTGTTCATGCTCAGTCCCACTCCACTAATGTCTGCAGAGCAACAAGGTTCAACGCAGATACATCCACAACAGCCAAGCATCTCTTCCAGTAGCATTGAAGCTAACAGGGCGTACTTCGAATAGAATTCATTCTTGATACCTTTGCTCCTTGGCCAAAGACGACTATTGACTCCCCGCGAAACACGTCCGGTCAGGGCCACCCAAACCAGAGACTCAACACCCTAAATCAAGACGCTCCATCATCGGACTGCTCACACAATTACATAGCAACAGATACACCTTGATATCCTGATCAGACAGCTATGCCGGCGACCGCGGATGCACTACGATGACGACAATCAAACTCGCAATCATGACGGCAAACGCTACAAAGGCGACACGCGATAATGGTTCCACGACTGGCGGGGGAACTTGCCCGCAATGATCCATCGCTGCGCGTGGAAGTAGCGGTGATAGCCCAGGAAAAGGATCACGATGCTGATGCCGAGGAACGTGGCGCCGAGGGGCTTACCCAGGCGCCGCAGCGTCACCGAAGCAGCATCCTCCTTGTCACCCGAGCTGTTGGGCAGAGATGTGTTGAGACGGAAGAGTTGCGTGACGGCGATGCCAATCGAGGCGAAGGCAAGTGAGGTACGCAGCCAGGCGAGAAAGGTGCGCTCTGTCGGCTCACGTTAGACGCCTGAGACACCTGCTGAGTGGGGGTGTGAACATACCTAGAGCTAGGTGATCGCGAGCCACGCTGCCCTTGTTCTCGAGCTCAATGCTCTGAAAGTGGGAGAAGAGCCCACCGTGCCATGATGATTTCTTTTCCGACGTCCGCGCTCTCCTCGCCGATGTACTGCTCACTTCGGGGGTGTCGGCGGTGGCGGCGTCCGCGTCCTGGTCAGGCCTGCCGTCTGGGGCAGAGAGGTCTATCCTGGAGGAGGCCGTGGATCGTCTGGTGCTCGGAGCCTTTCTCACCCGCGGTCCCTGCACGGGCGTGGCGGTCATGGGGCTGATGGACTGATAGTTCCGATCGGCGCCGCGTGTGAAGATGCCAGTACGCTCGTCGGCGCTGCTCTGTCCCTCATCTTCGCGGTCGGACTCGAGGATCCTGCGCTGCTCTGGGCTCGACATTGTCTCGCTGCGATTTCGTGCGTCCTGGCGTGGGGGATAGCGTCAGCGGGGGGGCGTGCGGGAGAGGAGGAGGAGGGGGAGAGAGAGCAAGACAGTGGCAAGGGGGGCCGTACCTCTAGTATGTTGCTGATGCGGTCGTTCGCATTGACGCTCGGGCGATGGACCGGCGGTTGAGGGTGAGAAGACGTGTGCTGGATGGCGTCGAGATTGTCCTGGTCGAAGGAGACAGTCCGGCTTATCCTGCTCGCCGAAGTCGAAGGGCGACGAGAGGGAATACTGGGCGAGGGTGGAGCGACAGCTGCGGCGTCTGGGCCTGTCGCTGTGGCAGCGGAGGCGGCAGTATCGTGGCGTTCAGAAGCCATGGCATCAGCGAGCGAAAGCGAGTACAATATTGTGTTTCTCCGCCGGTACTCTGGTACCGGTTGGCGGACTTGCTGGGTTGTTGGGTTGGTGCTGAATCACATCCGCGCTGTGGTGGGTAGTCGTGCGACAGGGGGGGTCTGACGTGATGAAGCCGTCGCGCGAGCTTAAATGTCGGCAGCTGCAGGCGCTACTTGTCAGGTCGTGGGGGGTAAACGATCCCTAGAAGACAGCTTGTGCCTCAACTCGAAATCGTCGTGACGTCGTGCTGTCGCTGGACTTGTCGTTCGTCGTGATTTCGACGGTGAAAGTTGAGCAGACGAGAAACAATCCAAGCTTGACTCGAAAACGTTGCCATGTGATGCTCATCAGCTGCCGTCCCATGCCGTAGGCTCGTGCCAGGACCCTGGCCCACCTCACTATGAGCGGGAGGGTCTGCCAGGGTCACAGTGCGCACCACTGTCGACTGGAGCGTTCATTAGCCCGGTCGATGGGATCGATGGGACCGATGGGACCGATGGGACCTGACGGTGCTTTTGGAGGGTGTCGTCGCATCGGGTGGGTGTTCTGGGAATATGAGTAAGGTGCAGTCATGTAGCAAGCTGCATCGCTTGTCAGATTGGCGAAGGTGATCTTCTGGGGAGACTTGGCTCTGGGGAGACACGGCGAAGCTCTTGTATTTGTTGCGTAACATTTGCTCGTTATGACGTTGGCCTTTGATCTTGTCCCACCCGCGGCAGGCACGCACGGTCGAGTTGGAAACACGCGAGGGGGCCAGTAAGACTAATTTCGCTGGGCCGGGCTTGCTGGGGCTTTGCGGGCCTTGCTGGGCTTTGCTGGGGCTTTGCGGGGCTTGCTGGGGCTTGCGGGGCCTTGGGAACAAATCAAGGGCAGTTGCATGGGGGGGCCCCAGCCACGCCCCTTTGCTCCTTCTACCCTCCATTCCAGGCGATAATTTACCAGGGCGAAAACTAACCTTGTCTTTCCCAAAAAAGAAAACCAAAACCCCTACCCCCACGAACGAAAGGTCCTGTTCGGGAATCTTTCTGGCGGTTGTTCGACAGCATCAAAATCACCAAGCAACAAGCCCTGAAAAGCAGTCTGGTGGGGAGGCCAGGGTAAGGATCTGGCTACCCATCCATTCCTCCCGACCTTTTGTGAACCACGGGAACCGACCGGGGTCCTTGAATCAATCCCCATTGTATGTCTCAAGGTCCACCGTGTCCCAGGCAATTGGGCCAATCAGTTTTGACTCTGTGTGAGGCTTGGAGAGAGTCGATGTCTTCTACCGCGCTCCGGCGAATGTGTGCCTCGTCAGAAGCTGATACAACTCTCTTCACTCGCAGATACTCGCTCCTGTGCCGCCTCGCCTGCCGTGTCCTTTGGCATACTTGCTCATGGCAAATCGTATCAATGGCCGTCCCGTCGGGCCTATTGGCTTTGGCATGATTGGTATGCCATGGCTCTCGCGTTCTCGGTCCCCAGTACATTGATATAGATCCCTTAGGCTTGACCATGCGCCCTACCCCCCTTTCCGATGATCAGGCCTTTGGTGTTCTTGATGCTGCCATTGATGCCGGCGCGAACTACTGGAACGGCGGCGACTTTTATGGCCCCCCTGACAACAACTCTCTCGCACTCCTGAGCCGCTTTTTTGAGAAGCGTCCCGAAGCCGCAGGCAAAGTCGTCTTGAACATCAAGTCGGGCATTGCCGTTCTTCCAGCCTTCACACCCACCGGCTCGCCCGATGAAGTCGCCGCCAGCATCGACAAGTGCCTGCAGCAGCTTGGTCCCAGGGGCACCATTGATGAGTTTGAGATTGCCAGGGTCGACGCTGACGTCCCCTACGAGAACTCTCTGCGCCCCATCGTCGAGGCCGCGGCGAAGGGCCGTATCGGTGGTGTCAGCGTGTCCGAGGTCTCCGCCAGCACCATCCGGAGAGCCGCCAAGGTGACCAAAATCTCCAGCGTTGAGATTGAGCTATCGCTGTGGGAGACTGATGCCCTGACCAACGGCATCACCGACGTCTGTGCCGAGCTTGACATCCCCATCGTCGCATACTGTGAGTGGAAACCCCTGATTTTTTCGGATTCAGTCTTTTAATCCATGCGTGCAGCTCCGCTTGGCCGGGGTCTCCTCACCGGCGTCATCAGGTCTCCGGCCGATATCCCCGATGGCGACTTCCGAAAGGTTCTGCCCCGGTATCAGCCCGGCAACTTCGAGGTCAACCTCAAGCTCGCCGACAAGGTCACTGAGTTTGCAGCACGCAAGCACTGCACCGCAGCTCAGGTTGCCATCGCTTGGCTCCTGGCTATCGCGCGTCGCCCAGGAATGCCAACGATCATCCCCATCCCTGGCTCTTCGTCGCCGGAGCGCGTGCGCGAGAACTGTGCAGCAGCAGCTGTCGAGCTGAGCGAGGCTGACATGGCTGAGATTGACGATATCCTGGCACAGTTTCAGCCAGCGGGTGACCGATACCACGAACATGGAATGCACTTGTTAGATAGAGAATAGGGAGGGGCTGCAAACCACAAGATGACATCTTGAGCTATCCTCGAGCCAACCTGCGTGCCATGTGACCAGATGGCAGGACGTCAAAGAGCCCAAGACAGCCCTGGTAAATGTACCAATGTTGAAGTTCTGAGTGGCCAAGTGGGAAAAAAAGTTCCCCCCGGTCCCTCCAGGCGCTTTCAGAAGCCAAGGCTCGAACGTGCGCCCCCCTGATCTGTGAGTTTTGAATAAGGGTGCTTCTCATAGGGGTATTTGGAAGGCAGGGTCCTGCCAACGCGTTACGACAACCCACTGCACCACCAGAACGCGTCCGTTCTGGTGGGAGCTGGTCTGGGACGGGAAAATAGGAGACTATAAAGCATCAGGCACGCGTGGTGGGATGCAACGGGATATGGAGGAAGGTGCGCGAGGGAGATTAAAGGGGGGCACGAAGTGGTTGGAAGGCACGCGAAAGCACAGTGGTTGGTCTGAGGGCCATGCTTCTATCTTGGTGGTCTACCTAGCTCAGCCTCGGAACAATACCACTGCCGCGAGCTCTTCACCGGCCGAGGACCAGAGAGAGTGACAGGGGACTATCGCAGATGCGGTGGCCCCTTCTTTTCTGGCCCCTGATGCTGACACGGCGACGCCACATATGGAGGTGTCGATGTAGGTGAGATATGGTTCTCTGGCAGAGCGTCCTGAGAGAGATGTTGAATATGCACGCTTGGCCTCCTGGAGTATATCAACGGGACTGATCTCGATACCACCCTGGGACTCGATCGACACGGTGCTGCGAACTAACACACCTGCTACAACGAGATGTGATGTACGGGACGTGAAAGGTCGTCCTTCGCATGGTTGTTCCATGTAACTGGCGTGTTCGACCGAAGACGAGGGAACGCCGGCGAGACCGAGGTGAGCGTGCCATTCCACACCTGACTGACGTGGAAGTTCTTCAACCTCCACCGCGAAGAATGGCGGAATGAAAGGGTTGTCGTCGTCATCATCTTCGAGGGACACTTTCATGACGTCTGAATCCGGAAGAGTCGAAACGCTGTCGCCAGTGGCATCGCCGAATGTCATGAATGCAGGATTATATTTGCGGTCCCATGGGTCAGGTCCAGTCTCCTCCTCTCCATCCGTAGCGTAAAAATGGGCTGCTCGCCACGCTTGGGCGGCAAGACGGGCTTTGGTCCGCATGCCACCCATGTCGTGCGTGCGTGGGAAGTAAGCAACAGCACTGGACCAGAGCTGAACATGTTGGTCGGCTGCGATGCGCCAAAGGTGTTGAAGGGACATGGTGATTTGAGCCGAGATGTCGGCTTCGACAGGGAGGGCCATCAAGGCAGGCCAGAGAGGGATCTGACCAGCAATAAAGATAGACCTTGTCGTGGCGAGGTCTGGGAGGTCTGGGGAGGACGAGGCGAGCCCGACTAGGGGCACGTCGATAGCTTGGCTATAGGGGCCAATATTTGCCGGCGCCCAGTAAGATCTTGACTGGACATGAAGCCCCTTTCGGTCGCGGAGACCAAGAGAGGGCTGTATTGACAGATGGATGACAATATTGCAATCATAAGGGAGGAGGTCGCCGGAAGAGATGGTGATCCGCGAAGGGGGGTTTGGGTGGCTGAATAACGCCCCATAAATGCCATTGATGGCAGGGAAATCGGACATGCGGCGGAGGACGATGATGGTATTGGTGATGGCAGTGGTAGACAGCGATGACTTGGTGAGGAGAGTCTTGATCTTGTCGACCACGTCATGCGTCTCAGCCTCGATGGTAGATTGAGGACTTAACCCTTCCGAGTGTACAGTCCAAGAAATCTCGGACGACAATGCCGGCGAGTCGCTCAGCCGAAGAGTTTTGCTATGTTGCTGGCTGGTTTTCAGCTCGTTCGACACTGACCCCGCTGTCTCTGAGATAGATTCTGAGACGTAGTCGAACCTGGGATCGAAAAGTCCTGGCACGCGAATCGCCCCATCAGAATCCTCTCGTGGCCTGTCCTTCTCGCCGATGTAGGCTCCCCGGCAGCTGAGCCAGGACGTACCCCCTCCCTCCG